TGACCACCCCCATTCCCTTTTTAGAGGGCGGAAAAAACCCGCGCAAGGCCCCGCTGGGATTCGAACCCAGGATCTCCTGTTTACTAGACAGGCGCTTTAACCAGCTAAGCCACGGAGCCACCACGCGTACCCTCTTCTTTATTCACGAGGAAAAGGAATGATTTTTGCTTCTGTTCTGTGTGTTTATTTTTTCCCTACCAAGACTCAAGAGCAGCCCGGATGTATCCCCAGAACTTCAAAATGAACCCCTGCTTGGCCCCCCAAAAGACCTGAGAAACCTCGCAGCTGCAGGAAAACTGAGTCCCCTTCGCGTAAGAGGGAAATGCGGGCGCAAGCCTGAACCCCTGGGGTAGGCAAGAAGAGTCTTCTTTCAGAAACTGCCTGGAAGGGAAAGAGTTCAGCAAGGATCACTATGACCCTTACGTTGGTAAAGTACGACCTGGGTCGCCAAGGTAAGGAAGCAGAGGGAAAGGAAGAACAGACCACCTTTATACCCTTAACACCCCCTCCCGGTGACCCCAAGACCAAGAATTGATTCTTGCAGGAAGCAAGCTGTATGTTCTTTATTTCACGGTTTTGAATTAAAATTCCTGTCATTTCTTACCCCATTTCTTTCAGTAAAAGTTGAGTTCCACTGGCCTGCTTCTTGCTTATAATGTTAACTAATGGAAATTCCAGAATGGGCCTTAAAAATGCAAAACTTAATAATTTAAAACCTAGTCTTGGAAAGAAATAAAGGAGAGGTCCCCTCTCCTCTGCAGCTACAGAGGAAGAGAAGCTTTCTTATGGTAACACTTGTCTAAAGGATCTGATTTGATAAGGTGTCAAATTGAGAGCATCCACGAGAATTTGTATATTGTCATGGGGGCTTGTGTATTTGTAACTGTTGCCATGTTATTCTGTTCTCTGTTAAAATAAATCTGTCCTTGGAAATATGATTTGAACAAAGGGGTTTAGTGAAACTCCTAAGTTTACAAATTGTTATGATGGTTGTGAAAGTAACTTCCGAGAAGAAACTTGTAATTATGATTGGCTATCTTACTTGAAATCTGTTGTCCTGGTGTTAATGTTGAAATCGGCACTTCATATTTCTAAGCTGTATCAATATTTGAAAGATTTCTCTATCATACTATAAGGCAGCCACTGGCACTCATTTTCCTCCACATACATGATGGGGAAAAAATAAAAGCCTATGACTCTGCTAGATTTCTTATTTTCATAAAAATATCGACAGTCTACGAACTGAACACTTAAGTTTGATTGAAACTCAATAAGTACGTATTTATCTCGTATTATAAGACTAGTGATAGTATTATTAGTTTGCTTAGAACCAATGTAATTATAAACAGCACCCAAACCAGTTCCCAAAGAGCGGCTGGTGGATTTAAACTATTGACATTTTGATTAGCAGCCGAGCTCTTAACCACCATAGACAGCACAGTCAAGATGACTTTGACCAAACTGTAGTGGACATTTGGCTAGACACCAGAGCCAACACTTTGGCTTTTTCCTGACTGGCAGCTGATAAAGTTTGCACAGAATTTCTAAAAAGTCATAGGAGTTGTCTAACTAGCCAGAGACAAGTCCCAAGAGAAAATCAAGACATTGAGCAACCATTTCTAGAAATTGGGTGTGAACTATATCTTCTACTCAGCTTCCAGTATGACCAGGAAGGACTATGGAAAGGTCCCTCACACTGGCTCTGCTCCGCACATTCGAAATTGCAGAAGTTTAGACACAGACTGCTGACAATAATGCAAAGAAACATGGGAATGGCAGACAGTGCAGTTTTTCATATGCCTGAGAGAGAACCTGAAAGAAGAGTGCACTGAAACCCAAGGGAGAAGAGTGTCCCTGTGAACCTTAGTTTTATGTGTCAACTTGGTTAGGTTATAGTATCCAATTATTCAATCAAAAACCTTAAGATGTGGCTGTAAACATATTTTATAAATCTACAGGTCCTTGACTGTAAGTAAGGGAGATTATCCTCAATAAAGTGGGTGGGTGTCATCCAATCAGTTGAAAGGCCTTAACAGAAAAACAAAGGTTTTCCTAAGGAAGAAATTCTGCCTCAAGACTACAGGATCAGCTCCTGTCCAACCGTTCCCAACCTACTGGTCGGTCCTACAGATTTCAGATTTTTCAGCCCCCACAATCGTATAAGACAATTCATTGACAGAAATCTCTTCCTCAAAACAGAAGTATATATGTTCTGTTTCTCTGAAGACACTTGACTGATACAACCACTGAAGAAAAGACTGGAGACTGGAATTGTAACTCTCAGAAAATAAGACCCAGTAGAATGATATCCAAAACAAAATGAAAGCATGCCTAAACTCATATCAGGCTGTGAATATGGCTGAGAAATATGAGTGAAAAGAGGCCTTTAAAACCTGCAAGACAAAGGGAGATCTTTGCAGACAAACACTGAGGAGAGCAAAAGTGGACAGGACCTTCAGCCACCTGAGCTGAATCATGTCTTGGGGTTGCAGATGAGACCTGTGACCTCCAGGAGGGCCTGGGATTTGGCCTCCCCCTCCTGGAGATTTCCTCTGTGGCAGGGATAAAACAGAAGGGGAACTTATTTGCTTTGTTTCTGAAAATTCAGGCACAGTTGTTAATGCTTCAAACTTCTTTTCAGAACAGAAATCTCCTCTTGCTTCTAATGGGGATCAGGTGGTTCATGAACTTGGATGCGAAAACAAAATTTTGTTTTGATTATCCTGTTACTAAAATTTTGTATTTACTTTTGTTATAAACGTAGACAACAAACCACAGTCGTATTTTAGCTCCTGTGACTTTATCACTATTGGAAATAACAAATATTTTCTCATCAAATTACAATTCTTGATGATTTTGTAAAATATAATTTATGCTTATTACTATTTTGAAATTATAGTAGAACCCTTGTTGGATCTTGTTATTTAGTTCAGTAAAAAAGAAGTACAAATATTAATGTCATAATTTTTAAATATTTTGATAGCATATTTCAGCATAATTGGTTTCCTTTTGAAATCTTATGCATTTATCTTTTTTTCTCTACATTTAAAAGTGTTATTCTGAGATGGAGTTCGTTTTCACCAAACTGCCCTAGGGGTCCATAATAGAAAACCTGGTGAGAAGACCCGTGTTCTATGGTCTAGGGAGGGAACCTTAACCGAGCCTACCTTAATTTTTATGCAGAAAGAGTAGAAACATATATATTTTTCTTTAGAATGTTGCAATCTTATGAACTGAGAACAAATATTCCCTAATCTGAATATGAATATTCTCAATATCAGGTAGTTTTACTCCTGTTTGTTAGCCATCAACTTGTTTACAGTGCTCAACAAGCGGAAGGATAGTGACTCACGCACACGCACACACACACTTGAGACATGTTCTGAGAGAGCAAACAAATGAGTATTCAATTGTGTGCTAGCTGACAATGCTCCTTTTAAAGGTGTCAAATTCTGAGATGTAAACCCTGCGGTAGGAGCAGCATGCAATGAGGGTTCCTAGCACACCGTCTTGCTTAGTAAATACTTAAATTTTTTGTAAACGATTCAGGCTGAGATAAGAAAGAAAGTCAGGTCATGTCACCCTCCAACAGCTTCCAATTTCCTGCAGACTAACAGCCAACCCTTTGCAGGGGCCTACATTGCCGGAGGCCATCTCCCCGGCTTCCCCCTCTTACCGATCTCCTAACCCTCTCTCCAGTCCGCACTGGCCTGCGCACTTCTGGAACATCCCAAGCTGCTTCCACCTCCTAGCTTTTGTCCTGGCGATTTCCTCTGTACACAGCACTCTTCCCCTGATACCCGCTTTTCTCTCCCGTTCACCTTCAGTGCTGGGCTTTCCTCTCTCTTTTGCCTGTTTTATTTTTCCTCCAAAGCTTATAACCGTTATTTTACTTATTTAGTGCTTTATCTGTCTCTGCCTGGGCCAGCTAATCTTCTTGAGGGCGGGGATCGTGTTAGTTTTATTTACGGTTGTATACCATCATCTTGAATCAATGAAATCAATAGATGAACGCATGTACGTATGCGTGAATGGAGAGGTCATATGGGGCAGAGGATGCCGGGCTTGCCTCCCACCGCCATTTTCCAGCAGGCAGAGACAGACTGCGGAAGGAGAGTACAGATTCTGAGGCGCGTGCAGGAGAAGTGGTCGCCGGCGAACCGACGCGCCGCATGCCTAAGCTAGCCGGAAAAAAAGCAGCTTTCAACCTAAGTGCCAACACTGCAGGAAAAACGGTGCCACCGCCTGGTTTCTGATGAAGAGATGCCCGCCGCCTTTCTCGTTTATGACCAGGGCCAGTGGCGCAATGGATAACGCGTCTGACTACGGATCAGAAGATTCCAGGTTCGACTCCTGGCTGGCTCGGTCTAGGTAGTTCATTTTTCTCCTCCCCCCACCCCTCCTTGAGCCCACATGAGTTTAACAGAGTAAGAAAACCCGTGCAAGGCAAAGTTTGCCTGGAAGGCTCCAGAAGGCAGAAGGCGCGGCTTTTGACCATAACTGGCACTACCATTTCTTTGCAGGACAAATTCCGTATCCGACCATACGATGGCGCTGCCCAAAGCGCACCTTATCCATCTTCCCCGATCTCGCCTGTCTATACCGGCTGAAGGATGAGTTTGAAGTAACTTTAATGCAAAAGGGAAGAGATTTAGACTTTGAGAAGATTCGATCTATCAATCTCACTGATTTCTCTGGTTTGAGAGGCCAGCACAGAAACGCATGCGTATAACATGACGCATATTGACAAGGACGACCAATGGAAGCGGGCGGAGTCAAAGTCAGAACATTAGCTTCGGAAGGGCTGTGTTCGAGAAGTTTCCGTAGTGTAGTGGTTATCACGTTCGCCTCACACGCGAAAGGTCCCCGGTTCGAAACCGGGCGGAAACATATTTTTCTTCTTTTCCTCCTTTGTGGAGCTAACACTTTTAAAAAGTTTTTTTTTTTTCCCCCCCAAATATCACACTTTCACACTCGTATCATCCGCGGGAGAAAGATGTGGCAGTCCGCTTCCGTAAAGATCACAGCCTTGGAACCCCTGTAGGGCAGTTCTGCTCTGTCCTACAGGGTCGCTACGAGTCAGAATCAATTCGATGGCAACACGTTTGGTTTGGTTTTTTGGTTTCCGGGCCTGGGACGCGCGGCAGGCCGCTCGCAGCCCCGGAAGCGCATCCTCGCCTTCTCTCGCCTTCCTGTCCGCGGCTGTGCGGGGCTCCGCGCGTCTCCAGCGTCTCGCAGTCTGCGCCCGCCCTGCCCGAGCCGAGGGCACCCGCGCGCCCAGCGCTGCTGCTTGGATCCCGCATCCATCGGCGGCCGCGATACTTGGGTAAGCGCCTCACGAGTCAGGGGACTTAGTGTGCTCCTCTAGAAAACGGAGAGGGTGTCCCCGCGATCTGCAAATACCTGGGACCCTCCTGCGATATGGCCCTGGTCACGACAGCGCCGCCTTGCTATTTGGTTTCCAAAGTAACTGCTCTCTCCTGGGCTCCAAGTGTGAATCCCTGGAAAAGGAAGACTCTGGCAGGTGGGGTCGCACAGGCTGCAGGCCTGACAGGGGTGTCCCCACGGGACCTCTAGGGTGAAAGGCATAAAAAAGAGAAGCGAGGAGAAGATTTGAAAGTATTGGGTCTGCAAGACTGTGGCCTGGAAGAGGTCGCAGCGGGCGGGTTGGTCTGGCTTGGCCTGGGCTCTCCCTGCCTTCCTACCGTACAGGGCATCACCTTCAGGAAACTCCCATCGAGGAGACACCCCAGGGCTGAATCTCCTTCCACTTTAACCTTATGCTCTCCCCGTCAAAAAGAAGAATGGGTCCCAAAGTTAAGAAATGGACTAACTGTGAATTTTGCATTTTGGCTTGCAGCTTGAGAAAAGTCAGTGGCAACACCTGTTTAAAATCAGGACTTGTGCCCTGGGTTTGGCCTTTGACCTCTGACACTTTGATCTCTGACCTCTGTCTGACACTGTTCTTTATTAATGTTAATTGAATCAATGAAACCCTTTTGTGGGAAAAAAATCTTGCCACTCCACCTGACAGCCTCAGGTATATCCTCAGGATTTACTTGTTAGGTGTATTATTGTTACAGGTATTGTTATTATTATTTCTAAGGGTTAGCCAGGCCTACCCTCTGAGATCACATTTTCCAGGTACCCTCTAATGAGTGATATGAATGATGGTTTTATGACCTTAGGAAAAGAAAGTGCAATCCTTACCTAATGAGCTGGGGTATTTTGCTTTGTTTAAACAGGCTGCATGTATAGGCATTTCTTTTCTTAGCCCTGTTACTCCTGTACTTAAATACCTCCTCTGATAAAGACTCAAACTTTTATCATTTTGCGGTTCTCTTGTTAGCAGGATAATAAGCTTGGGCGTGTACTCAGTAGCAATTTGTCTAAGATCCTTCTTTTAAGATCGCCTGCATTCCCCCCAGAAATACAAGTGAGTTAATGTGCTGCCCTGAAAGGGGGTAGAAGGTCCCAGGGGCCCAGGAGGTGACAGGGTTTTGACCTGCCCATCTTTCTCTGATGCCAGTGGGTAAGAGTGCTTCAGCTGGGAAGCTGAGCATGCCCTAAGTCAGTCAGTTGCAGATGGGTGACAGTTTGTCTGGGAGCCTGTGGCTCACTCCTCTTCCAAACAGGTGCATTCTGGAAGGATGCAGCAGCAGCCCTACCTTTTTGACTCCCTGCCCTTTCTCACAGTCTCCTACCACCCCTTCCCCTCAACCGCCCACACTTAACCCGCAGGTAGGGTTATACTTCCTTTGGAAGGTGGAGAACAAATAGGGCCCCGGAGAGTGATTGACACCATGTGACCCCTTGCTCCTGTAGCACACTGCACCTTGTATACAATCTTTTATTTACTTTTTTTTTTTTTTTTAAGTTATAGCCTTTATTCTCTCTTAATTAAGCTCAGCATTACTCATCTTCCAAGGCACTATCTCACCATAAGTGAAAGGCAGAGAGAAAGAGCGTGGCCTTCTGACTCTGCCATAGGATAGAAACCAGAATCCAAGTTAGAGCTACCACCCAGAAACTCAGTTCAGTAACAGTCAAGGGAGCAGGAGGGTACTAAAATGTGCCCTACACGTGTGTTTGTTGGGAGTGAGGTGGGAGGTGAGTACTGAATGAGATGGAAGTTGGTCCGTGGATGCCTGGAACAGACTATGACAGAGACAAAATCATGGAAAAAAGATTCTGAGAGCTAGGTGAGACCTCAAGGTTAATCTAATTCCAGATGTGTCTCAGGTCACTAAGGCCGTTGCCCTGTTCCCTATTTCCAAGGACAGAGATTTGTGTATTATTTACATTATTGATACAGTTTGGGAAATTCCCAGGAGTTCATCCCACAGATGAACTCACACCCACATCTCATCTTACTCAGTGGTAGCATTTTTTTTGCAGAAGAAAACTTGTATTTGCTCTTTTTTTTTTTTTTTTTTTACTATTTGTCTTCTTTTAAAAAGCTATTTTTTTCTGGTTAATTTAAGCTTAATGGGTCTTTTTCTAATGAAAAATTTCAAGTCTTCGTAGTTAACCAAGGTATTCTAAGAAAGGGATAGAGCAGATATTACCTCTCCCTTGCAGCTGCTGAAGGAGAGATACCCTTCTGCATATAAAATAAGTAATCTTGTTAAATAAGGAGTTAAATTGCAAACTTTTAACAAGAATTTCAGCCCAGTTCTATGCAATGTGAAGATGTGTGATTAAAACTTTCACTAACTTGTTCTGTTCTCTGTTAGTATAATTTTGTCCTTGGAAGTGTTATTTTAACAAAGGGGAATTGTTAGATTCCTAAAACTTTAAAAATTGTTCCTATGTCTTGGGAAAATAACCTCAGTATCTGTCTTGATAATTTCTTGCCCTGGTGATACCATTGAAATTCATATCTTCGTATCCCCAAAAGTTATAAAATTACTTGTAAGATTTCTTTCACATGCATGATAGAATATTCTTAAGTATATGATACTTCTCTATTTTATAATTTAACAGATAATTTATTTTAAGTTAACATCACTGTGTGGTGAAAGCTCCCTCTTTCCCCAACCCTCCTCAGCCTTCATGGAAATGACCTTTTATCCCTCTGGCCCTTTTTCATTATTTGTGTTCTCTGTCTCCTACATTTGTAAGGTCTCTGGACAGTCAGTCACTGGGTCTCCTGATCAGCCTTCTGAAGTGAGTTCCAAGGAACTAATTCATATTTGTATACTCAGATACAGCATCCAGCCAGCCAGTGATCTGTTTTCCATAAATTTATCTTTATTGTCACTGGCTATGTTTCGGCCTTTGACATGTGGCGATCATGGCACCTCAGCTTGGGATGGACTGTAGGTGATCTATTTGAAGAAGACTGAACCCAGGAAACAGACTGTGTGAGCATTCCCACACCAGGAGATGGGCTGAGAAACACAGTTTTGGAATAAGATGGAAGGAGAATGGTATGGAGTGTCCATTCTGTAGGGAAGTGTGTCCTAGGACAAAAACTCACCTTTCAATTCCCTCTCTCATTCTCTAGCAATAAAAAGGCCTCTAAGAATATATGCAAAATATTTAGGATGACCTTATCATTTATTATCCAAGCTGAGACACCTTAGAGAGTGAAAGGAGGCACTGTTAATATAATGCTAGGACAACAGGTGTAAAAAAGTCATCCCAGTATTAGAACAAGTGATTTCCATATCCTATAATGTCTCAACATTGGTTCCTTCGTTTTAAGAACAGCTCTCTCTCTCTCCCATTCCTTTTCTGAGTCCACTATTACCCTATTCAAAGTTGCCTTACTTGATTTCTGGCATCCTTCTCAAATATTTTCTTCAAAAATTCTTTTCGCTTATTTTACCTGAATTTGGATTTTTTAAAAAAACTCTTGTTCTCTTAAGAATTGTTGAAACATTTCTTTAGTGGTGTATTTGAGAGAGAGAAAAAGGGGAACAGAAATTAGGTGTAAATTTATATCTAGGGGAAGATGTCTTTGGGATAGAGTGAGTCAGGTCTAGCTGGACCAGTAGAACTGTAGTGTGCCTCAGTGGCAACAGGGAGATCAGTGGCACCATTACTTTCTGGCCCCTCAGTAATTCAGTCTCCCTGAGAAGGGGGCAAGGGAGGAGCACAGTGAGGGAAGAGAAGAGTGTACCTTTATTTCACATTAGGTTTTCAGTAAAGAGCTGTTCAACATAAAAACACAACTGTTTCTCTTCTTAATTTTAATCACTGTTCCCAGAGTACCTTACAAGATACCAGGGGAAATAATGACTGATAAGGCACACTCAAGAACTAACTTTAGTTCTTTCTTCCTCTTTATACTGAATTTCATGTCTATCTCTATTCCAAAAGAAAGAAGGAAAAATGCAAAATTTCCAGAAATTCTAGTCATGACGAAAAAAATGACAAGAATAGATAATGTGATGTTTTAGTACCATTTACCCAGGGTCACTTTGTTAGCCAAGCAACATACAAATGAATGAAATCTAAGTTTGCTCAAGTATGACTATGCTTTCCAGTATATCTAGATAGTGAGGTCCAGCAAAACAAAAACAAAAAACTTGCACAACAATTTAGGATAAGAAAAAAAAAAAAAAAACAACTGTAGAGTGAGGGTTACAAAATTTCCTAGGTAACATTTTCAAGGGTAGGGCAGAACGGGTGAGTAGCTAGTCTTGGCTGAAAGTTGTAAAGAAGTTATGTCATGCCCATGAATGCCAGCCATAGGTACAGGTCCTAATTACCCAAACTCAAAAAGTAAGTCACTTTCTCTTCCTGCCTGTGTGGCCCTAAGTCTGTGCTCTTGGCTACCTAGTATTCTTTTTGTTACCCCCTCACCTTTTTAGTAGTTTTTATTATCTATTGAGCAGACACATACAGTTTTTCCATGTAAGATACAGAGAATAATGTTGCAACAGCCACGCCCACTCCTCTGCCCAGTTCAAGAACACCACTTCCTCCCCTTACCTTGGGACTAACCTCCCTGCCCTTCCCAATCATGTCCCTTTCCCAGCCTCCTCAGAGGTGACCACTATCCTGGTTTTTATATTGCTTTTCTTTAGTTTTACTACTTGCTTGTAGCCAAAATAACATGTCATTTGGTTTTACACATCATATAAATGGATCTATACTGTATACATTCTTCTGTGACTTGCTTTTTTTTAAAAAAACTTTATTTATTGTTGTTGTTGAGAATATACACAGCAAAACATACACCAATTCAGCAGTTTCTACACGTACAGTTCAGTGACATTGATTATATTCTTCAAGTTGGGCAACCATTCTCACCTTCCTTTTCTGGGTTGTTCCTCCTCCATTAATATAAACTCACTACCCCCTAAGGTTCCTGTCTCATCTTTCAAGTTGCTGTTCTAAGTTTGATCCCATATAGATAGTCCTTAGAAGACCATAATGCTCAAGGCAGACGTTTTTTACTAGTTAAGGTAAACTATTTTTTTGGTTTTAAGAAGACTTCAGGGGATGTTTTTGGTTTGAGGTTTAAAGATTATCTCAGGGCAATAATTTCAGAGCTTCATCTAGCCTCCATGGCTCCAGAAAGTCTGGAGTCCATGAGAATTTGAATTCTGTTCTGCATTTTCCCCATTTTGATCAAAGATTCTTCTATAGAATCTTTGATCAAAATGTTCAGTAATGGTAACCAGACACCATCTAGTTCTTCTGGTCTCATGGCAGAGGAGGTATGCAACTTATTTTGTTCAAAATTATATTCTTGATATTTTTACATGTTTTTGCATGCAGCTATGAATTATTCATTTTTACTGCAGAATAGTATTCCCTTATATAGACACTACCACAATTTATTTATCCATTCTACTGAAGGGCATTTGGGTAGTTTCCAGTTTTTTAAAATTACAAATAGTGTTGCTATAAACATTCTTGTAGGGGTCTTCTGTGCACACCTCCAAGAATCCCTCTAGGTAAACACCTACAAGTAAAATTGCTTTAGGTAACACCACATTGTTTTCTTTTAAAAAAATTTTTTTTAATTGTATTTTAGATGGCTTACAGAACAAATAGATTCTCATTAAACAGTACACGTATTGTTTTCTTACAATGGTTAACAACCCCACGACATGTCAACACTGTCCCTTCTCAACCTTGGGTTCCCTGTTACCAGCATTCCTGTCCCTTCCTGCCTACTGTTGTGCCCCATTAGTCTCATTTTGTTTTATGGGGCTGTCTAATCTTTGGCTGAATGGTGAACCTCGGGAGTGACTTCATTACTGAGCTAAAAGGGTGTCTGGGGGCCATACTCTCGGGGTTTCTCCCATCTCTGTCAGACCAGTAAGTCTGGTCTTTTTTTTGTGAGTTAGAATTTTGTTCTACATTTTTCTCCAGTTCTGTCTGGGACCCTCTATTGTGATCCTGGTCAGAGCAGTCAGTGGTAGTAGCTGGGCACCATCTAGTTGTACTAGACTCAGTCTGGTGGAGGCCGTGGTAGTTGTGGCCCATTAATCCTTTGGAATAATCTTTCCCTTGTATCTTGTTTTCTTTATTCTCCCTTGCTCCCGAAGGGGTGAGACCAGTGCAGTATCTTAGATGGCTGCTCACAGGCTTTTAAGACCCCAGATGCTACTCACTAAGGTAGAATGTAGAACACTCTTTATAAACTGTGCTATGCCAGTTGAGCTAGATGTTCCCCGAGACCATGGTCCCCACAGCCCGCTGCCCACCAATTCAGTCCCTCAGGAAGTTTGGATGTGTCTGTGGAGCTTCCATGACCTTTCCTTGTACAAGTTGTGCTGGCTTAACCAGTGTACCACATTGTTTTCTAAAGTGAATACACTAATTTTATACACACACACGTACACACAAATAGTGTATTTCATTGCTATTTTGATTTCTCCACAGCAGCTGAGCCCTTGATATTGTCGGACCACTTAGTTTTTACCAATTTAGTGGCTATGAAATGTTATCTCCTGTGGTTTTAATATTCATTTCCCATATTACTCATCAGGTTGAGCATATTTTCATGTGCTTATTCACCATTCATGCTACTTCTAAGAAGTGCTCGTTAATGCTTTTGTCCACTGTTGTAAAAATTTTATTTTGTCCTTTCCTCATGGATCTGTAGGAGTTCTTTATATATTCTGGGTTCCAATCCTTCGTCAGTTACATGTGTTACAGATATCTTTGCCCTGTTTGCATCTTATCCTTTTACTTTTTTATCATTTCTTTTTGATAAACACAAGTTATTAATTTTAATATAGTCAAATAGTTAAATTTTTTCCTTTGTTGTTTACATTTGTGTGTCTTATTAAAGAAACCTTTCCCGGAACAGTGTGAGGGAGGCAGAAGTGCCCCCTGGACTAGCAAATCCACCTGTCAAATACTGCTGCCATCATGCCCAAGCGAAAGGCCAAAGGGGATGCTAAAGGTGACAAAGCGAAGGTGAAGGATGAGCCACAGAGGAGATCAGCACGGCTGTCTGCTAAACCTGCCCCTCCAAAACCAGAGCCCAGGCCTAAAAAAGCCCCTACGAAGAAGGGAGAGAAACTTCCCAAGGGGAGAAAGGGAAAAGCAGATGCTGGTAAACATGGAACCAACCCTGCAAAAAACAGAGATGCCTCTACAGTCCAGGCACAGAAAGCGGAAGGCACTGGAGATACAAAGTGAAGTATACATTTTTGATAGCTCTGTAGTTCTAATGACTGCTGTTTGAAATACTTTTTTTTTTTTTTAAATCAAGTTTTGTAAAAATGTAGAATTTTGGTTTAGTTTTTTTTTTTTTTTTAAGTTATATTATTAGCATACAGAATGCTTCATTGTTGTCTCTTGTGGAAAGGGCAAATACCACTAATAGAATGTGTCTCAGAAGCTGGATTGAAATGGAAGAAAATAGGATTTTCTGTCCTGGGTTTTGAGGATTGCTCTTGGTCATCATGAGGGATTCCCTCACATCTGCACATCAGGCCACTTTGACACAGAAACCTTGTGTGGTTGTTGGGGGCAGGGGCAAAACTTCACATCCTCTTCTCCTTCCCTGATGCCATCATCATAGACTTGACTTCCTCAAACAAGAGTCTTGATGTGGCCCTGGCACCCCTAAAATTAACAGTGTCAGGTCACAATACTCAGGCAATACAGACTTTCTGGTGATGACATCAAGATGGTGTTGCTCGGAAGATCCACAGTTCCTGTTTTTAGTTTGTGAATCCTCCCATTGAGAATTCTGCACTTTTAGTTCATTTCTTCCACGTCAGAGTTGGCCTGTGAAGAGCTCTTAAACTACATGCCTCTTGTGACATGTTCACCCCCCTGAAAACTCTTCCTGTTCAGAGCAGCAAAAAAAGGACTTTGTTGACTTTTACGGTGACTTTTTCCAGAGGGGAATTTGGGAGTTTAAAATGTTATTGATTGTCACCCATGTCCTGGTGGGAGTAACATGATTGTTTTTGAAAAGTATTTTATAAAGCTGAATACAGATTGCTTGGGAGGGGAAATCATCTCCTATCTGAAGCCAGAAAGATATTCTCCTGTACTGCCTTGTAAAGTTTTGTAGTATTGATTTTCACATTTGCCTTTTGTCTGCTCTGATTTTTGTGAAAAATATGAGGTAGAAGTCCAATTTAATATTTTTTCCATATGAGTAAGTAGTTGTCTCGGCTCCATTTACTGAAAAGTTCATCCTTTCCCAACTGATCTATGACATTAGCTGTCTCATAGATCAAGTTTCTGAGTATGTGTGTGTATGTGTGAGTCTGTTGTTTGGCTCTATTCTGACATACTGGTATTTATCTAGCCTTGTGCCAGCACTATACTATCCTGATTATTACACTTTTTAAAAAAGATTTTAATATTAGAGTACAAATCCCACCTCCACCCTCAACATCACCATCAAATTTTTCCTTCTCGGGAGTGTCTTGGCTGCTGTTAGCCATCTGCTCTTCCAAGTTCTATATCAAACAACAAAACAAACTTGTTGGGATTTTGATTGAATTTCTATTGAATTTATAGATTAATTTGGGGATCCATGTCATCTTTACAATATTGAGTCTTCTAATCCATGACCATGGTATAGCTTTCCATTTATTTAGGCCTTTTAAATGTCTTTCAATAAAATTTTATAATTTTCTTCATAAATGTCTTCTTTTGTTAATATTTCCTAGGGACTTTATATTTTTTGATCCTATTTTGTATGGTATGTTTTTAGTTACTACCTTTTTTTTTTTTTTTTTTTACTATTATTGATTTTTACACCCAGCAATCTTGCTAAACCTTCATTAATTCTTATATTTGTATATTCTTTTGGGTTTTCTACATAGACAACTGTCTTAAAGCTAAGTTCTCTAGAGAAGCAAAACTAGTCAAGTGTGTATGTATATATATATATAGAGAGAGAGAGAGATTTATATTAAGGAAACGGCTCGCACGGTTGTAGAGCTAGAAAGTCACAAGTCTGTGGGTCAGGCATCAGACTGGAGGCTTCTCCTGACTCATGTAGCTGCAGTGGCTGACGAACTAAGATCAGCAGATCACGCTGCAGGCTGTGAGGCTGACAAATGCAAGATCAGCATGCAATACGGCAAGCCGCTGGCTCAACTCCCAAGAACTGGAGGTCAGACGATGAGAAGTCGGATCCAGAATGAGTAAAAGCCAGCGAGCTCTGCCAGAAAGTCCATATATATTGGATGCAGGCCACACCCCCAAGGAAACTCTCTTTCAACTGATTGGCTTCTTATAGCGGATCTCATCATGGAGATGATTACACTGTATCAGATCTCATCGTGGAGGTGATTACATCATTATATAACTGCCAAACCATGGACAATCATGGCCTAGCCAAGTTGACACACAACCTTAACCATCACAACAACCATATCTTCGGTATATGCAAGTAGTTTTGTTTCTTTGCAGTCCTTATACCTTTTCTTTTTCCTAATGCTAAGTATTAACCAGGTGCCAGGAATACAGCAGCAAGCAAAACAGTCTCTGATTTTATGAGGCTATGTTCTAGCTAACCCCAAAATACCAAACCCATTGCCTGTCGAGTTGATTCCAACTCATATTGACCCAATAGGGCAGAGTAGAACTACCCATAGGGTTTCCAAGGAGCCGAGCTCTTAAACCACTGCACCACGAGGGCTCCATGTTCTATCGGGGGAAGAGGGGTAGAAAATAAATAAATACACACATTTATGTGACAAGAGGCCTTAAGGAAAGAAGTGTAAGAGGGTGCTATTTAGATAGAGTGGTTGAGGAAGCTTCTCTCTAATGAGAAGACATTTGAGCAGGGCCGTTAATGAAGTAAGGGAACAAAAGATGTGAATATCTAAGGGGAAAGCATTCCAGCAGAGGGAATGGCAAAGAAATGAGGTGGAAATGTGCTTGGCAGGCTGAAGAACAAAGAGGCTATCTGCTGCATGGGGAATAGGCTGTAACAGGGCAAGAGTGGAAGAAAGAAGCCAGTTAGACAGCTGTCTCAATCGTCCAGACAAACCATGTTGGTGACTTGGACCTGGTAGGGAACAGTGAAAGAGAGTGGATTGGATAGAGAGTTGGCAGTAAATAAGGAATGCCATGCTTAGACAATTACTTAACCTTTCTGAACCACAGTTTCCTCAGTAGTATAGCAAGAAATGGTATCTGCTTTGCAAGGTTGTTTAAAGGATTAGAGATACCATATGGCAATGTTTACTAATACAGATTACCAGATTAGCATTCTGATGAATAAAGTTTGCTTGGGACTTTGAAAAAAATAATTTGTATTTACCAGAACCTAACCACTACTGGAAAACTGATTAAAGAAATTACTTGGTGAACCTGCAAAACTGAGGGCCAGACACTTTCATATGAGTTCTTCACTAAAACTAGTAGTATATGTAGTAAAACTAGAATTATATAATACCAATATTTCCCTTTGTAATAGTGAATTTCTGATTTATCATGCAGTATTACCATCCCTCTGTTCTATGGAAACCCTGGTGGTGTAGTGGTTAAGTACTATGGGTGCTAACCAGAAGATTGGCAGTTTGAATCCACCAGGCACTCTTTGGAAACCATGGGGGCAGTTCTGCTCTGTTCTGTAGGATTGCTATGAGTTGGAATTTACCTGACGGCACTGGGTTTGGGTTTTTTTTTTTTTTTTTCCTCTGTTCTATTATTCTCACTCTATCTTACTCAGTAAACAAGAAACATTTATCCGTACTTTCTCTTTGACAGACAGTTGGGCTTGGCACAGATCAGCATCAAAGACAAAAGAAATAGTCTCTGTTCTCAGAGAAATAGTCTCTGTTCTCAGAGAGCCCAGAGTCATATAGGGTCAAGTCACCACACAGTAGTATTCTTTGTGCTGTGGTAATATTGCAGGAGACCCTCATACTGATGCCAAGACCCTCATACTGATGCCAAGGCATGAAGGAGTACTAGGAAGGACTTCTGGGGAATGTTAACACCTGAATAGCAAAATGAAAACAAAAAGGAGTTGGTCAGACAAGGGGTGGGGAAAAAGGCTTCCAGTCACAGTAATAACATTTGCAAAGATGTTAAGAAAATGTGCATAGTAGATGTTCAATAAATTATTGAATAAAAAAATAAAATGCATAACCAAAGAAATTACAGTATATTAAGTTTTTGACTATAATAAAAGTTAATTCTTAAGTGCTGATTGTCCACCAAACACTGTGTGTGCCCCGTGATTTACATGCATCATTTCATTTCCATGACCCCATGAGTTAAATAATACTGCTATCCTCATTTTACCTTACATTTAATGAAACTAAGGCAAACAGAGATTAAGTAACTTTCCCCAAGATCATACAGTTAAGTGGTAAAATCCAGAATAAGATCCAGGTCTATAACTTCAGATCCTAGAAGACTCCTCATTGTTGAAAAGGCTGAGGATCACTGGTACAAATCTCAAATGTAACCCATCCAAAAAATTTTTTTTTTTGTATTTCTGAATAAATTCAGAAACTTCCCAAGATACACTAGCAACCCATCAAATGCAAGTAATGACAATATTCTACAAGCCAGATAATTGTAATTCCAATGAAGAAGGGTAGTAATCTAAATTCCACAGGGAAGCGGTCATATGGAATTTAAGAATGTTAGTCTATCTCCAGCAATGTAAAGCTAGCAGAGAGATTGTTTCTGAACAAGGATGCTAATTTTTTAGACAAATATTTCTGTGAGGTAGGGAAGGCTAATTTAGGAAATTATAAATAAGCCTCCTTAATAGCATCTGCCTCCGTTTACACCAAATCAATATTCATCAAAGAATTGTAACTTATTCTTCAAAGTGATTATTATTTGCAAAACAGTTCCAGCTTTTGAACCAGGTACACATTACTGCGGGGGAAAAAATCTCCCTGCCCACTGTTCTGAACCATTTGGCACTTATATTCCTATCTGTAAATTCACAAAGTACCATGCTGGTAATTTATAAAATAGAATAAATATTTTGAGAGTTTGGGTATCTGACAGGAATCAGCCTAAGAGATCTAGAATTTTTAACAATAAAATTTCTGACGTTCGAAATTGAGGCATTGGCCCTGAAATAGTTGAAAAGAACGAGGGAAACTTACTTTCCTGCATCTGCCTCTGTCCCTCTTCATTCTATTCTCAAGTGGTCACAGTGACCCTTCTAAAATGTATCATGTCACATGTCTCTCTAAACCCTCCAATGGCTTCCGTATCATAAAAGCCATAGTCAAAAAAAATGAATTACAAAAGTCCTACGGAATCAACCTGAAGATGCGGTCAGAAGAGCATCGGAATGCGAGGTTCCTCCTGCGGATCTGCGCTTGGACGCACTTCCGATCCCTCTAGGACGCTGGGAGGTCCACACCTCTCGGTGTCACTTCTCACCAGGCCAGCTCTGGATTGCGTTCTGGTTTCTGAGTGGCGTAGGGGAGGCTGGGGCCGTTCAGTTTTCTGTGTTTGCTTCTCATTCCCTCCAGACATTGCTCTGACTTTCAGGGGGCTCTCACCCCAGTCCTGCTTTGGTGGCGTTTCAACAGAAGTGGATTGTTAGCACGGGGAGGTGGACTAAGCTTGGAGACCGTGAATATCGCAGGGCTTCTTAACCCTTTAGATGCCAGGGAACCCTCTGGCAGCATAAAGAAGCTCACGGAAACCTCCGAATTATGTTCTTAAAGGCATTTAACACACGCACACGCACACAAAATTACAAAGAAAATCAGTTATACTACAAAACAGTTATCGAATGATTAAAAATAATAACTCTGCTTCTTTATTAATGTATTAAACGACATATCCCATAACTACCATAATTTCAAAATAGTTACATATGAGATATTTGTAACAATTGTAATTCAAAAATATCTGTATTTTTTCTTGGTGACAAAGCCACCTTCTCTTTTGACTGAGGTTCATTGCCTACATTCATAACTGAGGGAAGTGCTAATCTCAGTTATAGGTTAGAGATTTTAAAGACATCATTTTTTTTCCCATCCAAGTTCACCAGCCCCCACGTTAAGAAACCCTGCAAAAGCGCTTAACACAGTGTCTGGCACATTGAAAGCCCTCCATAAATACAGATATTAGTAATTTTATTATTCTTTTTCTTGCACCTGCTCAAATTTCTTTTAGGTGAACAGGATGGAGTTTTATCGCAAGAAATCTTGAGAGTTAAAGACTTCAAGACCAGTTCGAAGTGTACTCACAGAGTGCCATACTAGCAGACACTCCTCCATACAACTCTTCCTCATTTAGGGACAATAATTTAAAGACAGATGGAGAGAGAAACATCAAGTGTCACCTGAGAGGTACTCCTTGCTGCATTCAGTAATTATTACTCACATACTAGGTGTCAGGAGTTATGCTGGGCAAGATAAATCAGAGCTCAGTCCATTAGTCAAGCATGAATGCTAAAAGAGTGCTGTCCACACACTCCAGCTATGGCATAAAAGAAGGGTAATAAAGCTGGCAGGCATTAGGGGTAGGCCAAGGGTGGCAAAGCAAGGACAAAGCGGGAGATTACAGGCAGGAGGACATGCCATTAAGGACTGGTTCATTAATTCATTCAGCAAACATTTATTGAGCTTTCATTGTGTGCCAAGGCTATAGGGAAGGGCCTGAGGGCTCTGGCCTCACCAAAGCGAGGAGATCCTCTGCTTCCATAGAAGGAGAAAAAGCTATCCCATTTGAGGAAAGAGTAGACAAAAAGCAAAAGTGAGAAGCTCCAGGGTTTGAT